CGATGACCTCATTATATTGGCGCGTGAATCGCACCACACCCGCGCAGCGTCACCCACCCCTATAGGTGCAGGCGCTTGTCCCTTCTAAGCAAATAGAGGAGCGAACGGCCATGCCTGAAAACCCCACCCATATGTATGATAACTACGGTCTAGCCCTTAGTAATCCAAAATAATATCATACCTATTCTGGGTTTGTTCCGACTCAGCTGCTTGAATTTAACTCACTTCGTTCTCTTTCGGATCCTCCTCGCTCTCGATCTAGAATCGGCTTCGAGACACTGTGTCTACCAATGTTCACATAATTCGCAACAGGCTCTTCCCGTGTTGCTGGAGCCTTTGTGTTGTGATAGAAAGCCACTGAAAAGGTTTTTTTTGGCTGCATCTACTTATTCGTAAAACAGTCTCTTACATGAATTAGCTCGAGCGAGATTGCTATGCACTTTGGGACCGCTAGCACCTCCCACATGAAACCTGAAAAAAAGAACACGATGTAAATCGTTGGTGAATGCCTTTCGAAAATGCGACCATATAGCAGATTGATCTCCTTCGAGCCTTAACTTTTTTCACAAAGCCTTTATCTGGGAGGTTCGATTCATCCAATCACCATTCACCGAAAGTAGCATGATATACTTAGAAAGGTAAGCTTTTGAATTGTGGTATAGGAGCAGTGAAAAAGTAGTGAGTTCGTAAGAAATTTGTAATTATGAAAAATAAAAATGATTGGTTCTGGAATTGAGTAAATCAGGAAGGTTTTTAGAGTGAAAACAGTCTTCTCAAAATTTTTTTGCCCGATCAATCTGAATATTTGATTCCAAACTTTCTTGAACTCTATTGAAAACTATTACTAAAAAATATTAAAATCTTACTAAAATATACTAAAATCGGCCAACCTACCCAGACTTAGACTTCTCCTTATCCAAATTCACCCGTTTGGACTGTTTCGACTGTTCGATATTAAAGAAGTTAAAAAGTCCACTGAGGGTATGAGAGAATTGTGACTCAGTATCGGCTTGCTCAACCCGTTTTGGAACCACGAAATCAGGCATCCAATCACCTTCGGAATTCTTCTTGCTCAGGTATCGATGTAATCCTTTCTAAAATGAATGTTTGAGCTTTCTATCGTTATATTTATTTATTTATTCCATTTATTATGCCGTTATGCCGACTACTGAAAAGCAAAACTTCAAAAAAGCGGACATAAACTGCGGAAACTGCATCATATCAAGTGAAAAAGTAAACGTACAAAGTAGAGAAGGTAAAAGTAACAAAGCGGTCATCTCTTATAGCGATATCGCCCTCAGCCTTTGTTTAGAGGAAGGCAAGCGGCCATTACTTTTACTTCTTGGTAGAGCGTTTCATACAAGTTCAAAAGAAAAAGCTGACCGACACTTCCATTATAATTGTAAAGAATTATTACTAGAAGAAAAATTTCTCGTCACAAGTCCACAGAACAGAAAGACGATAAGGTTAACGGAAAGTTCTGGAATTCGAAACAAAACAGCAGTTTGGTTTTGTTTGCCCCGAAACCTCATTCACTCGATGGAATACTGCCTCGCATATGTTTAACACGTGTGACATAAGAGAAAAACGGCTAAATGCTAGAAAATGTCACATCTTCATTTAGTATATTTTCAGAAAACAGCAATCAATCAATTACCGAACGATTCAGGGAATATCGATTGATTCTGTTGCGTAAGAGTAGCTAACCTCTCTCATGGCCTTCGTTAGCATTCGATGAAACGTTTCACTACGAGCACACATGAACACGAAACATTCGTCTGTACTGGATTCTGATGGCTGGACAGTGACCATATTATTTTGATCCACGTTGATTCTAGCAAAATGAATATCGCAATAAAGTAACAACTTTTGTGGCCGACCATAGACGATGGCCATCCGAGAATCCTGCAACGGATAGGGTTTGGAAACAATCCGCCAAAAAACAACGGCAAGGCAGTGCTGCTCAAAATTTCCGGCTTCGGCTTGAAAATGAATTATGAAAAGGATCATCAATTAGAGCTTACGTGTAAATGGCATCGCACTTCTTTGTACAAAACTGAGGCAAACTCGGACCTTTGAGGGGCATGATGAAGTTGCATGTAAAAACAGGTACCTGAAATTCAGTAAACATCTGAATCATCACCTTCTGCATCTATAACTCAAAAGTAGAATTGCTTCTATTTTGTAGAAGTATTTCTACATATCCAGATCCATCTCCTCCAGCCTTTCGAAAGCAAGGTTGAATAGGATCCAGCAAAGAGATTAGGAATGAAGGGAAGTTTTCAGTGCTAGTCAATCTAACTTTGAAATGTTGCCATGCATTAGCCTTTCATTCAGGATGTTATTACCGTTTGACAGCATCAGGCGATTTACTCTCAAAACATGAGTCAAATTTTATGGGTGGGGGATGAATCATGGTCATAGATGCACAAGAAAAAAGCTAAAATATTAGAAGGAAACCGGAGTGGGTCCGAGAGCTTGAACAAATGGGAAACAACGAAAAGAAGTGTGTAACAACGGTAGTAGTAAGCATCACATCTACTTGGAAAATGTATGATAGAAAGAATGACTCGCACATGGGAGCAATCACAATAAAGTTCCAAGGCTCGGGCGGGAGACGGTAACAAGAATAGAAAAAAGGAAAATGATGAAGCCGAGTAAAACTTATGATGGAGCAGACCACGCCTGAATGCGAGTGAACAGCCTAAAACGAGGAAGGGCATTCATTGCTCGTTGTCGCTTTGGATACTGGATACCGGAATAAAAATCGAGAAAAATAGGCAACACTCGCGCAATTGTAATTCAACTACGTGGCGGTAATGAATGGAACAGTTCGATAATAGATTCAAGAAGGCAACGTAATCCGGGACAACATAATCCTGCAGGTCAGGAGATGTCAATAAGCGGAATTCTTGAGGGTGAAAGACGCTCACTATAAACGTAGTGTGCACCATGGTGGATGCATACTTAGCGTGAAATGGCTGCAACTTGGCCTAGGGTGAAGCACTTTGACTGAGCGGTATTGGACCGTTGCTTTGAGAATGACTGTTTATACTGTACTTCTGGTAAAGCCTATTTCAATCGGGTGACCCATGCACATTTTTTTCTTCCCCTTCCTTCCCAGTGGCACCTCTCGGGCATGCAAGCGAATAAACGAAAGTAATTTTCGAGTGATTAGATGGTAGGGAAAAGTTATCTCACATAGGTTACAGAAGAAAGTAAGCTCGTTTCCAGAGAAGAAGTGTAGATGCAAGTCACTCTTTTTCCGAAAAAGACTGTTACCTCGAGAAGGATTTGTTGGATTTTTTTTTTCGGATTCTATCTATAAGAAAGTACCTACTTGTTCCACATGTTGATCGTAACCACGTTTCCCAAACCACAAGACTTTCAGGTAGAAGGAAAGAAATCACGACAATATCCTCCAAAGTTATTAAAGCAAGTGTATGTTGACTTTTTTTCAACTCGAAGCCTGAAATTGTTTTGAGTGTTTACACGACTCTATTGCTCGAGTAATAATTATAGTTAATAATAACAATTAAATAATAATACCAGTTGTACGATACTACCGAGCGTGAAACTTGAACATTTCTGATTCACGAAATCGTGATTGATTGCTTGACCTTCTTGTGACAATACTATGAAAGAAGGGAGGTAACTAGACAAAGCAGTAATATGTAGTGATGAAATAATTTGCTGGTCGGATTTCATAACATCAGAGGGCTGGAATTTCGGGAGTGGCTTAGCTCCATTGTTTTCAGATGTCTTGTCGTTTTGTGTACTTTTCAAAGTTCTTTGCTCTTCCTTTTTATTGGTGAGCTTTCGGCATATAATGCCTTCGTCAGACCTTAATTAATTAAGCTCACCAATAAAAGTGAAGAGCAAAGAGCTTCGAAAAGTACACAAAACGACAAGAAGTCTAAATGAAGCTCAGAGATAGCAGTATTTCAAAATGTTTTCAAATGATAAAAACCACTGCAAATTTGTACTTTGATTTATTTACCACATATTTGATTGACTAATTTTGACACATCAAATTCTTTCATTTAATCAACCACTTAACTTGTTTAGATTACTCATAAACAATGATTTGTTTTGGAAGACTGCCAGCGAATGATGCAACTTCGTAAAATGTGCTCATCAAGATCCTATTGTTTCTACTATTGCTCACCCAGCTTATAAAAAGGACACATTGAACCGAAATAACCCGAAAATTAAAGTAGGAAGGTTAGATGAAAGGCAGCGTTCCAAAAGGATACAATTCTGGTAGTATGAGACTTACACTGTAGAGAGCGAAGATCTAACCTTCCAGACTAGATGAGTGAACCGGCGGAGTAAGGCTGACTAGCAAAAACTCAACCCCACAGAACACATTGGTGCAATATAATGCCTCTAGTTCCCTAGACTTTTTGTCACCCAAAGGATTGAGTAGCCCACGGATCATGAGCAGGAGATTCCCCATTGAGAGTAGAAGGATATAGGAAGAAGTTTTTTGACATCGATCAACTATTTTTTGGGAGGTGCCACCACATTTGACTTCCGCTCAGAATCGTGATGACGTTTGATTGTGCATGAAGCCCATACAATGTACTGCATTGGTCACTCAATGTACCAGCCAGTGGTCCAATCCTTCTGGACAAGTTTGGTATCAATTCACCGATCCCGAAGGAATGCAAGGCTTGGTTGGTATAGGGGGATATCGATCGGGGATTCGAACCCGTGGCTATACCTGTGTGGTAGTGCAAAGATAGAATCCCTGAAATATCCCTGGAAAGATGAAATGCTTGGTAGGCCCGGGTGGACATACTGTATGGGCTTGAGCTTAACTTCTGTTTCGGGCCAATATGTCGGATGCCTATCTAACAAATAAACTAATAACTAGTAAAGAAATTAGGCATATTTGTTTGTTAATCTCCTTCCGTTGGTGAATTTTTTCTTGATATGTCATCCCGGAGTCATAATGGACAATTTCATGCAGAGTGCAAAGTTAAGGTCACTTTGCGCCATCGGCTTGACCCTGTTTTTCTTATTACAACGTATGATATCAATGAAAGCAAGATGACACGGAAGCAATTCATATGCGAAACGTTGATTGGGAACGGGGCAAACGGACGACTATCATGACAAAAATAGATTGCCAACCGGTTACTTCTCATTAAATTTGCAAAATACAAAGAAAACATTTGGAAAATGATTAGTAGGTGTTTGCACTTCCCAAGTCAGTTCTGTCTCGAATCCTACAAGCTTCAGCAATGTGACTAGACCTTTTTCAGACCTACATGCAGTACTGCAGTACTGTTTCAGGGTGAGAAGTAATTTCAACAGAAATAATTACTGTTTCCGAAGTAATTTTTTTAACAATTAAAACTCAGGAGCTGAATGAAACCTAAGGAGAATAGTTGAGTAGAACAAATAAAAAAATGTAAAGGCAGTAGTTAGTTAGTAAAAACGACCTTGGCTAGGTCAATGTTTTGAGGTATTTGTTGCCTTCCACACTAAATCAGATTTTAGAAACCTTTGCATCGCCGTTGGCTCACACAATATTGACATTTTGGTTGTTTACGTTACTGTACTCTACCGTAGTGCTCACTGGACTATTGCTTACTGGAGAACAAAAGGTTTTCCGAATCGGGCTCGAGGATTTCAAAGACTTCACCCTCATCTCCTTCGATACTACTCGATAAAAATGAATAATAATGAGTATCCTAGCATGAAGGTCTTTCTTGGTTAAACATAACCTTAAGTGTCCGTCATTAGGGACATTATAGTAACTGTTTCGTGAAACGAATACAGTGTAAAATGTACTTCAAAAAGCTCGGTAGTAGCTGCTTCCACGAAAACTCTCAGATTTCTTTTTCCTCCTCGCTCCTCTCTTTGAATTTTATCTCTGAACTATTGTTTCATTCCGATACTTGAGTAGTTTCCAATAGCCGAAACTTCCACAATTGAAACACCCATAGTCAACGCAATGGCATAACTAGTAAACCGAAGTTCAAATAGAAATGCGGATTACAAAAAACTTCAAAATCAGAAGTTCAAGGCATCAATCATAAACGGACTGTTCAATGTTGCAAAATGTGTTACTTTCCTTTCTAACAGAAATTTAATATCAGCGAAGAAACGAAAATAACGTTGAAATCTTCAGAGTAAAACAAAAATTCGGAAAAATGAATCATCACGGAAAATCAACAGAAAGTACAGAAAAAACGAAATTTGAACTTACCGCTTTCAAAACCGACGTAGTTTTGTAAAACGAGTGAAGTCTTCGAATTGTTACATTGACGATCCTTTTTCGATTTATAAACGTATAAAATTGGAGTACTGACATCAGTAGGCTTCTTGCATAAAATATATCGTTTTACCCACTGAAATACCATTAATTGAATTAGTAAGTTAACTAGTAACTGTTTCATTATGAAGTCTAAATACTGACCTTTCCATTTTTTAAAATACGGCCACTAGACTCGATACAAAGGCCGTTGCTATTGAGATCAACCCGTTCTTTCATTAGGCAAATTCTTTAGACCATCTGACTTGACTTTTATGAATAGGAATATCCTCTGAATATACCTGTAAGCCCTATAAACTTGTGAAAAAAGCTTTTGCATAGTACGGTAGAAGCAAAGTGACCGATTTAGCCTTGATAGGTTTCAGAAGAATAGTGCTGAATTGATTAAACCGGTAGTTTGAAGTATTTCCTCGAGAAATACTAAGATTCACAGAAGGAAGACAGTTAGGGACGTTTTTTTACAGTACTCCTGCGAGCCGCCGACTGAACTCTTCGAACTCCTACCAATCGGACGGGTGCAACGGACCGTAACCTACTGTAACTCAATTTACAGAACCAATATTACTTTTACAAAACTCTTAACACCTCGGAAACTCCCATTTACATTCGGTCGAGGAGAATGTACAACCTATGCTCCAGTCGGTTGAGACTTAACAACGTTTTCAAAGCGCACTACGCAGTAATTACTTCCATAAAAAGGTAAGCCATGTCATCTCAATAGCATGCTGCATGTGTACAAACATGAATGGACACTGTTTAGTTAGAGTTTTTTTGTTATTACTTAGTAAAGGTCGGATGTTGGTATACAATCAG